AAAATCTACCAAACCAGCATTATTGGGGATAACTGAACTGATGAAAAGTTGTAAAATGTGGGTAATTAAATTTTTAATTACAAATCTGAGTAATAATTACATTATTAAAAATGAACTTCTATATACTATGCATGGAGGTAAGTAAACTGAATCATTACAGCCACTGCTACAAAGGCAGGAGTTTTCTATTTGTGGATAATGGCACAAAAGCAATCTCCATGTACTCAGTACAGATACTCTTCTGGACACACTCAAGTCCTCAGAGATGGTCATGCAGATCTACCATGATAGGTGATGAGCATTCTGCAAGGTATTTCCTGCCTTGGTCAAGTGAAGCATCTACCACCATTTTCTGGCAGTCTCTTTCTACTGCCTCCTCTCTCTTATGTTGCTCGACTCTTGTTTTCAGTCTGGTATTCAGAGTCTATCAGAAAGAACTAAGCATTTGTTGTGGTGTGGATGACAATATATCCCATAAGCTAATATATTTAAACTCTTGATCCACCATTTGTGGTGTGTTTGGGAATTTTGGAAGTATGTTGCTGTGGGCAGGCTTTGAAACTTTATAGCTTAACCCTACTTCCTGTTGCCTCTCTCTGCTTCCTGTGTTCTATTAAAAAATGATCAGCAAACCTCTTGATCCAGTCACCTCCTGCCATGCCTTTCTTATCATTATGGACACTCCCTCAGGAATTGTAAACCAAGATAAACTCTTCTATATGTTGCTTATGGTCATGGAATTGTATCACAGCAACTAATACAGTATGTATTTATCTCTGGTGGGCCCAGGGAAAAACATAGTTCTCAAACATGTTAAACCTGGACTCTACCATGAAGCCACACACTTCAAGAGACATTGTGTTTGGCTTCATGTTCTGTGGGCCAGTAGCTAAGTGGCAAAAGAAGTAATTTAACTATTCTGAGCATCAAATTTTAAGTCTTATTTACTCGATAAGTAGAGACATTAAGCAATAATCTTGCATGATTTCCATGAAGATCAGGTGAGAGAATGTTTGTGAAAACATACAGCCTATAGCCCATTGATTAGACAACAGGACTGAGGTTTTCCATTTCAAGAAAGAAGTAAAGGGACTAACCATGGTGAAGCAAGAAAGGTTAAAATAAACAATATAATGAAT